CTCTCTCTCTCTCTCTCTCTCTCTCTCTCTCTCTCTCTCTCTCTCTCTCAGCTCCCCTAGTAGCTCCCAGCACACTTTGTAATTAAAGAAAAGATAACTTCTCCCTAAAGCTCGGATTCATGTCCTTGATCGTCATATTCCACTGGAAAGTGTCCACTCCCAAGCTCAGATTTCGAGAGGGCCCATTTCGAGAGAACAGTGCGGCGAAAGGGTGCTCTCAAACTAGCTTTCTCGAGTTCGAAGGCTCAAGAGTGCTCCGGAATTTTGTTCAGGATTATAGAGCCGTGTGGCGGAAAGATTTTGGGGCAGCCACTGGCCACCCAATTAATTTAACAGGGTGCAAACAACGGGCCTAGCTCATTTGGTACACCCAGGAACTATTGACATACAGACCAGAGTTGGAATCCCTGTGAAACCAGACAAATGTAATACAGAAATTTAACAGGGTGACTTTCACCCCTAGAGCAGGGGGGTTCTAAGAGGCCGGGGGTACCCATTAGGAAACATTGTGGAAAGTCGTGAGGCAGTAGTAGTGGTTCAGTGGGGGTCTTCATCTAGCAGCAGGTGGACTTCACCTAGAAAGAAGTCGCACTGTCCTAATAAACAGGACGCCTGGCACTCTTTCGAGAATAGCAGCAGCTGCAGCAGCAGCAACAGCAATATCAACAGCAACAGCAACAGCAGCAGCAGCAGCAGCAGCAACAGCAGCCGCAGCAGCAGCATTGTTTGGTGCAGAAGAAGATCATTTCTGGCATAATCAAGGTAATGGCGGAGGAGAAGTGGAGGAGCAAGAAACTACTGACCCAATCCATGTGGCTGAATGGTATACCAATCTACCTGCTGATTAGCAGACCTGAGTTCAAGTCGTGCTGCAAGCACATGAGAAGGGGAAACCAAAAAAAAAGAACAAAAGAAACTACTGGGCTCGACTAGGATACTTGTGCATGAAACTCCGCTCACCTCGTCATGAAGGTCTGCTTGGACAACCAGCCGCAGTCCGTGTGACTGAATGGTGCACCAATCTTACTGCTGATTAGCAGACCTGAGTTCAAGTCCTGCTGCAAGCACAAGAGAGGGATCTGCTAGCATGCTTGCAGCCTTGCGCATGAAATTCCTCACTTGCTCATGAAGGAATGCACGGACCACCAGGCGTCGGTGCCCAGCGTGCTCCCTGAGCAGCCCACCGAGGGTCCGCACATGCCACCGTACATCTCTTTGCTTGGAAGGTTCTAGTGGTAGAGTTCTAGCCGTGCTGCAAGGACATAGGGAGGGGGGGGGGAGGGAGAAGAAAGGCCCCGGGATTGGATGGGATCCCCCTTGGAAAGGCGAGCGGGGGCGGGGAGGGAAGGAAAGGAAGAAATTACTGGGCTCTGCTAGCATACTTGCGCATGAAATTCCTCACCTCCTCATGAAGGTCTGCCCGGACCACCAGGCGTCGGTGCCCAGCGTGCTCCCAGAGCAGTCCACCAAGGGTCCGCACATGCCGGACCACAGCATCGTACATCTCCTTGCTTGGAAGGTTCTCGTAGTAGACAGCCGGTGTTGTTTTCACACGGTTCCTGTCATGTTCCCACAGCCTAATCTGGTCAGCCACCGTCTCGGGAAGGATCGGAGTCCGGTGTGCAATCTTTGGATGCGCATGTTTGCGAATGTACGAGATGATCTGGTCTGCAGCGATTCCACATGCAAAGGCATGGTTGACACTTTCCCTTGAAATACCCCCGACGACAAGGTTGGGCAGTTGGTACTCCACCCTCACAAACAGCTTGAGAATCTCAAGGTGTAGCTTGGACGATGTGTACGCGTAGACCCGGAAGTTAGTCTCCACCAACATGAATCCCTCTACCGTATGCCCTGTGCTGGACTCCGACAGACTGGCACACAAGCTGGCAGCCAATCGCGTGCCCACGAACCAGCTCTCCCCCCTGGACCCCTTCTGAATCTTCACCAACCCCAAGAGCGCCAGCTCCTCCACCATCTTCAGCTCCACGGCGGTCAAACCACCTGTGTCGTAAGGTTGACCAACGACCAGGAATCCAAGCTCCAGGAGGAAACAGATGAGAGATGATGTGTCCATCCCCCGATCCTCCGCTGCTGCCACGTACTCGCGAAGAACTGCCCATAGTTGTGTGCTCTTGTCCGCCAACAGGAACTGAAATCCCAGCTCGGTAATCTGCCATCCGTTCTCATTGGAGGAAATGAGTCCAGCGCGAGTGAACGTCTCCGTGATGATGGAATGAGAGGAGGAGCCAGAGGCAACCAGCTCCAGAAGGATCGACTCCCATTTCCTGTCGGCATACGCGTCCAGCTCTGAGAAGGACAGCTGGCGCGCTCCGGCTTTCAATGAGGCTGGCTCTCTCGGCGGCAACCCCCCAACACATAACGCCTGACGCAGATTCGTCTGGAATGCTGGGTTCAGCAGATACGAAACCACCTCCTTTTTCCCAGTCCTCTCCCTTGTTTCCAGCAGCACTCGCATTCGCTGCAGCCTTTCCACTGCGAACGCGTGCTTGCTACCTGCATCCGGCTTCGCCCAATCAGACAGACTCTTCCCACCAACGGCTTGCTCCACGTGGAGTAATCGCAGGACATAGAGTTTTCCCAAAGGTGGAAGCGACCTTAGCACCGCCTGGCACGTCCACAGGCTCTCGTACAGGCCGTCCAGCTTCCCGGCTGGCAGGGAGGCTAGATAGTCCATGAAGTCCATCTCCGTAAGCTCTCGCCTCTCTTCCTCAACTGCTGCTGGATTTGAACTTCAGTCTGTATTTCAACAGTTCGTGGGTATACCAACTATCATGTTTTTCTTTTTTCCCTACATAAGGCAAAGGCGTTTACATTATTTTCTATCACCCATAACACGAGACCCTAAACCCTATACCCAAAACCCCTCTTGTTCTTAACCTGAAATCTTATGAGACGAGACCTTAGCACCGCATGGCACATCCACAGGCTCTCGTACAGGACATCCAGCTTCCCGGCTGGCAGGGAGGCTAGATAGTCCATGAAGTTTCCTCCTACCCTCCCCCCACCTTACCCCGCCCACCCTCCCCCTGCTCCCTTCCCTGACCCCTCTCCCCCCTACATCCACGGCCATGAGATGATCGCCTCAACTCCGTGATGGATTGGTTCTATGTGGCATGTCTGGCTCTCTTCTTTTTTCTTCTCTTTCTCAATCCTTCTGCTGTTGTGTTTGACGCCCTCCCACTACACCTCCTTCTACACAAGACACTGATCACGTCCATGAGCCACACAGACATCCACTTTCAAGATCCTCTGCTTTGGACGGACAAGCGAGCTCCGCGCCCCCGGGCGGTGCTAGCCATTGCCTGTATGGCTCTGATGTTATATGCAGCACCAGAACCATTCCGCCGAGTCCAAGCCATTACTCGCTGAATTAGAGAATCGTGTCGTTCAGCCACCACATAATCGAGTTCGTTATCCTCATCCGTTCCAACTTTTATATTGCGAGCCGAGCCAGCCTCGGAAGTGCAAGCCTCCTGCGCATTTGTGCAGTACGGATCTGCAAAGGGACGTCTGTCCTTAGAGAAAGAAAACCAAAAAGAAAAGCAGGGCAAAGAGAAATCACACTCCCCCCCCCCAAAAAAAAAAAAAAAGACGACGAAGAAGAAGGAAAAAAAAAACACTCCCAACTTGCAGCAACGAACGGAAAAAACGCATACCAAGTTATCCTTTCCTTACTCTTCCTTAAAGTAGCAAGTTATCCCTACCCTTCCTTAAAGTAGCACGTTATCCTTACTCTTCCTTAAAGTAGCAAGGTATCCTTACCCTTCCTTAAAGTAGCAAGTTATCCTTACTCTTCCTTAAAAGTAGCAAGTTATCCTTACCCTTCCTTAAAGTAGCAAGTTATCCTTACTCTTCCTTAAAGTAGCAAGTTATCCTTACCCTTCCTTAAAGTAGCAAGTTATCCTTACCCTTCCTGAAGGTAGCAGCGGGTCTCGCATGACACTCCCACACGAGACCGGCTTGCCACTATTGGGAAAAAAGTGTGGGGGCCCTGTCTGGGCCCCAAGCAAAAGGTGTCGGTTGTCTGTCTTGGCATTCCATGTGTGCACAGAGCCTCGGTCCCGAATCCTCCGCCAAAACATGATAAGATACATTGCCATGTTTGCATGTCCAGAGTAGTGCACAGAGGCCCCTACGCGATGTTTTCCCTTTCGTCATCGCTTTGCTGGCATCTTTTTGTCATGACATTGGTGTCTCGCATGCCATGTTTGCATGTCCAGAGTAGTGCACAGAGACCCCTAAGAATTCGTGAATTTGGGTTCACCGCCAAAACATGGAAAGATACATTGGGTCTCGCTCCACTACTATACACTCTCCGAATTTGGAGAGTTCGGCATCGCTCCACTTACTGTACACTATACATGTGCCAAATCGCTTGGATAGCTGTCAGATATCGGTCGGAGATTGCACTCTCCATCGGTGTATAGTTCCCAGTCTGCAAAAGTCGTTACTCGCATACTCCTCAAAGGAAACCACAGACCCGCTGCGTTTTTGTATGGTGAACCTCAAGTCTGGACGGACAAATTGCTATCTTCTAGTGCTGTTAGGGTGTTGCGTAGTGAACTCAGGAACTGGAGACTTTGTATAGCAGATAGTAAGGGCCTCGCCGCACCACAGTCGAAACGCAAAAAAATTCGACGGCTGTCAGAACAAATTGGACAGCCTCCATTCGCCAGTTTGCCCCCCTTTAGCCACACAGCACTGTAGAGTGCACGCACTTGTGAATGCAAGATGGAAAAAGACGAACGCGCCAGAGGGTACGACAAGCATCAGTCCATCCGGACCTCACCCCCCCTCACCGAATTTCGAAGAGAAGTCGATGGCGCAGCCGAGGAGTGTCGAAAGTATGGGAGTAGCAGGCTGGGGATTCAACAACTTTCGACAAGAGCTGTCGAGAAGCATGCTCTGACAACTGGAGAATTTTTTTCCCGTCTCCGACTTCGACAGCCTCTGTGGCGAAGAGAAACTGTCGAAAATTGCATTTTCGACAGTGGTGCGGTGACACCCTAAGTGGAGCGACGCCGGGTTCTATACATTTTTTCGCGATCTGACAGCTATACGGCAACTATACGAAATTGTGTACAGCGGACAGTAGTGGAGCGAGACCCATTGCCATGTTTGCATGTCCAGAGTAGTGCACAGAGGCCCCTTCGCGATGTTTTCCTTTTCGTCATCGCTTCGCTGGCATCTTTTTGTCGTGAGTTTGGAGTCTCGCATTGCCATGTTTGCATGTCCAGAGTAGTGCACAGACGCCCCTACGAATTCGTGAATTTGGGTTCACCGCTCCATTAACTGTCCGCTCTCCGAGACTCCAAGTCGTGAGTGCACTAGCAGACACCGTGACAGTGCTAGAGGCCAAGTCGTGAGTGCACTAGCAGACACCGTGACAGTGCTAGAGGCCACGCCGGGATTTGCATTTGTCCGCCCAGCATTTGTCCACCCGGACTCGAGGCACAATCTCCAAAATTGGGTCTCGCTGCACTACTCTACTTCGCGAAAATTCGGAGTTATGCATCGCTGCACTAACTCTACTTTAGAACCCCAAGAGAAATTCGGAGAGCTGTCAGAAACCACAAAAGAATTGTACTCTCCGACGCCGGAGACTGCCCAGCCTGCAAAATCCGTTACGCAGATAGACCTTCGAAGGAACCATTTGCTCCAAATCTGGAGAGTGAACCTTGAGTCTGGGCAGACAAACGGGGACTTTGAGCTGTCGTTTTGTACCCTCGATAGTTGTAGAGTCTGCGTTTGTAGAGTTAGTGCAGCGATGACCCAAAATCCAGGAAATCGGAGAGTCTGACAACTCTCCGCGTACACTCCGATTTCCCGGAGAGTGGAGAGTAGTGCAGCGAGACCCATTGGGCCTCGCTGCATTACTCTCGACATGCACAACAGACAAAAATCATGGCGGTGTATCTTTCCATATTCTAGCGGAAGATTCACTCTTGTTTTGCACATTTCGAGAGTAGTGCAGGGAGGCCCATTGGGAGCATTTTGGAGAGTCCAGCCGAAGGTCCCTCCGAAACACCAGCCTTGCAGACTGGTCACTCTCCACCAGTGGAGAGTGTTTTTCAAAGGAGGTTTGTGACAGCTTTCCGAGGGTTTTTGGATGGTGGAATAGGTTCGTTAGTGTACCGAGGAAAAACTCTCCGAATTCGGAGAGTCGTGAGTAGTGCAGCGAGACCCATAGATTCGTTGCTTTCTCTTTTTTTTCCTTTTCTTTTTACATCCCGCAGGACTGAGTGCACCAACAGGCCATTTTTCTGAATCCTCCGCTAGAACATGGAAAGATACATTGCCATGTTGTTTGTCTGTCTTTTTTGTCTTTTGTGTTGTGGAGAGTAGTCATCACAACCCCTAATCCTCTGGGTTGTTCCGACTTTTTTTCTTTTTTACTTTGGACTGTTTATCGGTTTATGCGTGGCATCCTCGCGCTGGGTCACCTCACTGCACTACTCTCCAAACGTTCAAATCAGACTGAATCCCTTGCTGAAGTGCGGAAAGATACCTTGCCATGTTTTCTGTATTCTTATGCATGTGGAGAGTAGTTGGGGGCGGACAGTGACCTCCTCTGGGTCGTTCCGATTTTGTTTTTATACAAGGTTACCTCTTGCGGCTTCGTCCACAAGAAAATGAAGGAAATCGTCTGAAAATGAGGATTGGTGGGGGGGGGGGGGTTGTTGGTTGGGGGGGGGGGTTGGGGCAGGGTGGGGGGTGGGTTCGGGCGGGGTTGGGGGGTGGGGTTGGGCGGGGTTGGGGGGGTGGAAGACAGATATATCATTAGCCAAGTCATTGAAATGATTGTGGATGATATCTATGAATTGCCCTCTTCTACTGGGCCTCATAAAGCATTGTTGTTGACGCAGTCTCTCTCTGGCGGATGGGTGGAGAGTGAAAAAAATGAGAATGGTGTCGAACTGGAGGCCTGGTTGCACTTACTCTCCACTATATTTCTTCCTCTTCTACAGAAAAGTTAAAATTTTGCATCTCCCTGATCTCGGCTCGTGAACCCTTGCACTCTCCAAGAAGTTGTTTTGTGGAGAGGTCCTATTGTTTTGTGGAGAGGTCCGATTGTTTTGTGGAGAGATCCGAAGTACCACCCTCCACAAACCGCCGTTGACAGGCGGGGAAACCCAAAACACTCACCATAACTTGTGTCACACCGAACCGTCAGATCTGACACAGTTTTCATTCGCCAAGATTGGCGAGTAAGTGCAACCAAGCACCTACTCGACAAACTTGCTGGATGACGAGTAGTGCAACCAGGCCCTCTCTCTTGCATGCGCACGCGTGTGTTTTTTCCTGTCTTTTGAAAAGGGGTCCCGATGGACCCCGGATCCGATATAAAACTGATCCGAACACAGACCACACTTGGGGTTGCTTGGTTGGGGGGGGGTCTGTAATTAGTTAGATGGGGTCTCTCTCTCTCTCTCTCTCTCTCTCTCTCTCTCTCTCTCTCTCTCTCTCTCTCTCTCTCTCTCTCTCTCTCTCTCTCTTTTGCGCGCACGCTCGCACACCCACGTGCGTTTTGTTTTGTTGTGTTTTCTTAAAGGGTCTCGATGGAATCAGATTTTGAAACAGATAGGAGCAGATACCACACGTCATCGTCTGTGTGTGTGTGGCCAAGGGGGGCATAGTTGGTTAGATTGGGGTCTCTCTCTCTCTCTCTC